GTAATGAAAATTTTTTGTCTGAGTTTATCAAATGTTACTGGACTAGACATTATTAATATATATAATGGAGTTTTTGTCTGAATCTGTCAAATGTTAACGGACTAGACATTGTTAATGTAATCTTGACTGTGTATATTGTATATACTTATTGAATATAATTTGTCTTGTATTAGTTATAAGCTTTTTTAAATTTTAGACAAAAAGAGAGGAAATGTGGTGGTATTGTGTTCCCCAGAATATTGTGTACCCTAATAAACTTATCTTGGGTCAGAGACAGAACAGCCTCTAGATACAAAGGCTAGAAAATGGTGGCACTCACACCTTTAATCCTAGCATTCCAGAGGCAGAAATCCCTCTGGATCTCTGTGAGTTCACGGCCACATTGGAAACAGTCAGGCATGGTGACACATGCCTTTAATCCCAGAAAAAATGAGCCTTTAATCCCAGGGAGTGGTGGTAGAAAGCAGAAAGGTATATAAGGTGTGAGGACCAGAAACTAGAAGCATTTGGCTGGTTAAGCTTTTAGGTTTTGAGAAGCACAGTTCAGCTGAGAGCCATTCAGATATGAGGACACAGAGGCTTCCAGTCTGAGGAAACAAGATCAGCTGAGAAGTTGGCTAGGTGAGGTTAGCTGTGGCTTGTTCTGTCTCTCTGATCTTCCAGAGTTCACCCGAATAACTGGCCTCAGGTTTGATTTTATTAATAAGACTCTCTAAGATTCATGCTACAGTACATAATCACACAGACATGTACATATTCACACATAATTTAAAATGAAACTTTTAAAGACTCTAAACACTAGGTATTAAAACAAATTTCAGTTAAAGCAAAAACATACTTGCTTTATTTCTTTGATTTTTGAAAATATGTACAATTTTATTATTCTAGAGAAGCCACACAATTAATCAAATAAGAAACTGAACAAGTAGAACCTGACCCTAGATTATTACCAGCATAATCATTTTGATTGACATATTGGGATTGCTGTTATAACATGACTCCTCATTGCACATGTTGCAAAGAACACAAGAGGATGCAACGAGTCTCAGATTTAAAAAGTAACAACATGCAAATGTTTAGGACCATAATCAAATTTGATTATTTGGAGTAAAATGTGTTGGGTCCAGGATACAAAACACAGTTTAGGACCATAATCAAATTTGATTATTTGGAGTAAAATGTGTTGGGTCCAGGATACAAAACACAGTTGTAGTCATGGTAAGTGCCGTGGCTGAAGAGCTGAACTCTGAACAATTTCCAAGACGCTGTGGTCCTCTAAAGCCATAGTAAAAGGAGGGGGCACTTTTGATGTCTGGGATGGGGACACACACCTTTAATCCAAGCCCCAGGGAGGCCCTCTAGGGAAGACTTTTGAATTCAGGCCAGCCCGGACTACCTACAAGTGCATTCTAGGATAGCCAGAACTACAGAGAAACCCTGTGTGGAAAAAAGTCAATAAATGTAAGGGTGAGGGCGGATGTGCTCTGTTGGTAATTTTTCCGTGCTGTGGTCAGGTAGATGCTTCAAGCCTCTCAGGGCATCCTGTAAGTTTTACTCTGGCTCTGCCTCTTGTCAGCTAAAGCAGCACCATGCTGTACAGACAGCTCATGAACCTTGTGTGTACTGGTGAGTCCTGCTGTGAATGGGGGCTGTGGAGTAACAGGATGGAAATACTGTCCTGGGAGGCTGGATCCACCCACAGCAGAAACACTAGCATCCATGGTGGATTTTGGTGCATGAGTTTATCTTAACTAAATGGTCCCTGAATCTACTGTACAGAGGCCCAACAAGGAAAAGTAGGTCAGATCACCAGGCTATTGGAAACGGATAGATGATCCATCATGAGTTTTTCTTTCCAGGCTTCTTCCTAATCCTGAGGACCTTGGTACAAGCAGGTGAGTCTATCCTTAAAACCTTGAGATACTACCCTTCCTAATAGATAAGTTTCATTCTGACAGGAGTAAAAGCATCACAGAATGTTGGCTGGTGGCTCTTGTGAGTTTTCTGAACTTCAAAGGTAAGACCCTAGAAACCTGCCTCTCAGTTCTCTCCCAGAAACTCTCAAAAACTGCCCCTGGCTGAGTCAGGCATCAACTTTGACCAGATAAATTTTTTATGGTCTTTCCTTTTTATTATTAATAATTTTTTATTCATTTTACATACCAACCACAGATCTTCCTCTCATCCTTTCTCCTGTTCCCCAGTCTCTCCCCTGGAAAACCCACCCCTCACTCTCTCCTCTGACAAGGTAAGGCATCCCATGGGGAGTCAGCAGAGCCTGGTACATTCAGTTGAGTCGAGTCCAAGCCCCTCCCCCTGTATCAAGGCTGTACAAGGTGTCCCACCATAGGTAGTATGCTCTAAATAGCCACCTCATGCTCCATGGTTGGATACTGATCCTACTGCCAGGGGGCCCCTTAAGCAGATCAAGCTACAAACTGTCTTGCTTATGCAGAGGGCCTAGTCCAGTCCCATGGAGGCTCCTTGAGGCAGGGTTTTGCTGTGGAGCCCTGCTGTCCTAGAAGTCACTTTGTACAACAGGCTGCCCATGAATTCAGATATTGCCCTGCCTCAGACACCCAAGAGCTATGATTAAAAGAGTGGTCTATAACACCTGAAGGATAATCAATATTTTCAAATAAAAAAAATCTTCCCTTTTGTTACACTCTCATGTGACCACCCCCACATATTTTGAGATTTTGATGTTATAATTTATGACTTTTTGAATATGTATGTCACTTGACAAACCATTGAAGTTATTATTATTTCTTCAAACATCTGTGCTACAGATAGAATTTGTATACTGCCAGTACACTATTGCAAACTCTTATATTGGCTTGCATTTACTGAGCTACTTTTGCTTTTTCTACATGAATATGTTTTCATGTGGCTCATTAGCAGCCTTTTCTTTCAGCTTAACTTCATAGCATTTCTTGTCCTTATTGTGATGAACTCTGTTTGCTACTATTTTTCTAAGAAATTAAATTTCCCCATTTCTGAAGGTCAGTGTTGCTGACATTTATAGGCAGTGTCTCTCTTACTTTTTTCTACTTACCTTATTGAATATTTCATCCTGAACCTCTTGAGGCCTGTAGGTCTTTGCTCAGAAGTCTGCCATGAGCTGTATTGGAAGTCCCTCATGTGTTCTTTGCTTCTTTTATCATTCTGATGTCAGGATCTCCTATTAGAATTATATGCTCTCTGGTCATTATTATTTGGGTTGAATTTCTTTTGTGTCACTTGATCTTTTTGTTCTTGACCATGTAAGTTTTACTCCATATTCAAGAATGTTCTATACTTTCTTCTCTACATTTTTATCTGTTTATTTTATTAGCACTGTTATTTCTTCTTTTAACATTTTATTATTTTTTGAGAACACAATGTATATTAGTTATATTCATCTCCTGCCTAAACTCATCCTAATTCCATCCCCTCCCCTCTACATCCAAGGAAACCTCTCTATTTCTTTACACATTCTTGATTTTTTTATGACTGATAATTTGGTATTTGGGTAGTATCAAAAAATCCTGTCATTCTTCTTTGTTACGTTTTCATTCAGTTTCTGTATTTATCCATCAGGTTGTATAATGTCTGATGTAAGCTCACTCATTCTCCTATTGAATCAAGTATATTATTGAAACACTATTAACTTTTTTAAATTTTGCATTTACTTGAGACACTCCCATGTGCACCTACATGAATGTGTTTGTGTGCATGTGTGTGTGTGTGTGTGTGTGTGTGTGTGTGTGTGTGTGTGTGTGTGTGTGTATTATATATACATGTTGTATGGCACAAGTGTGGAGGTCAAAGAACAACCTTCTGGAATCAGTTATCTATCTCCTCTCACCACATGAGTCCCAGAAATGGATTCCAGAGAGTCAGGCATGGCAGCAAGATCCTTTCCTACTTAGACATCAGGCTAGCCCATACATTTTCTAATTCAGTAGTTGTATTGTTTACCTAAAAGTGATGTTACAAAAATTTTTATGTTGTTCAATGATTTATTTCCAAATAGTATAAAATATTCTAACAGTTTCTTTTCTACATAGTTAGTTAGATTATGTCTATTATTTTATAAAATACGTTTCTTTTTAAATTTAATTTCTTGAGATTTTCATACATGAAAACTATCTTTGCATCATTTCTACCCATTAGAATTTATCCAGATAACCTGACAGTCTAAGGCATGGATGCTTTTTCAGTCTTGTTCTTTGCTGCTCTATTCTCAATAGCTAGGAGAAGGAAACAACCTAAATGTCTTTCAGCAGTTGAATGGATAACAAAAATATGTTACATGTTCACCTTGGAATAATATTCAGTGGTAACTAACAATGAAACCATGAAAATTTCAGAAAAATAAATGAAACTATAAAATATATTATACTGAGTGAGGTAACCCAGGTTCAAAAAAAAATTGCAACATTTTTTCCCTCATTTGTGGGTCATAGCTCCAAATCTTTAGTAATGGTTTCTTATAATTCTGTTACTTTGTTAAAAATACTACTGTGAGTTATTTATTATGGGCTCCATAGGTCTTCCTTTCCTCTGTGCTCACTACCAGAACCTCACCATTGTTCTCTGTTAATGTTTGACTTCTCTGATTCATGTTTAAGTTCTGACACAAACACACCTGTGTATTGAAGAGAAGCACCTCCTCTGCCACATGCAGAAGTTCTTTGGTTGGAAATAGACCTTTACTGTTTAGTCTAACCTGAGAATGAAGTGGGGCAAATCAGTAGCAATCCTGTACCAGATGACCTTGGTGTCAATTTCTGCTAATTGGCTGGCTTTCATCCTTTGTTTTGAGATCAAATGTTGTTGCTACTTGGGCTTCTGGTTCAGTAAGATCACTGACTACTCTCTACAATCAGGGACAGTTTCTCACTGGGTCCATAATCGCCTCTGCCAGGGCAGTGTTGCAAGATGCCTTCATTGTCTGAAGTCCATATTGTCTTCACTGTAGTGTTTTGCTATTGTCTCTTTCCTTGGGAACATCCACCATGTCAATACAGAACATGGACGAAGATGCATGGGCTGTTAATCATGAGTCCAAATCCTTTTCATCACCAGGTGATCCAAGTAGCAGAACAATACTATATTTTCAATTTTTCTCATGCCAGGAGCTTTGAAAAGGTGGAAAAACTATATATGTGTGTTGCTAGAGTTTTCCTGCCTGGCCCACAGTCAGGACAAATCTCTCTCACCCGCCAGTCCCAAGCCGCTCAAACCCGATCAAATAAACACAGAGACTTATATTGGTTTCAAACTGTATGGCTGTGGCAGGCTTCTTGCTAACTGTTCTTACAGCTTAAATTAATCCATCTCCATTAATCTATACCTTGCCACATGGCTCGTGGCTTACCAGCATCTTCACATGCTGTCTCTCATCGTGGCGGCTGGCAGTGTCTCTCTGACTCAGCCTTCCACTTCCCAGCTTTATTCTCCTCCTTGTCCCGCCTACTCTTCCTGCCTAGCCAATGGCCAATCAGTGTTTTAATTATTGACTAATCAGCAACACATTTGACATACAGAACATCCCACAGCACTTCCCCCCTTTTTTTTTTTTAAAAAAAGGAAGGTTTTAACCTTAACAAAGTAAAATTACATATCTCCAAAGTCAGCTTGGTATATTTGGGAATTTGGGCGTAGCTTCTCTTACTACTTCCTGCTGGAGGGGGGCGCTGTATCTTCCCAATGAGAAGACAAAACAGGAAGACTTTAAAGACAGACACACAGGAAGTAGGTCCTTTCGGAGAGCTCTCTTGGCTGGAGAGGATCCCTGAATCAGGAAGGGTGAGGCTCTTAGCTCTGACCTCTTGGCTGTCTTCTCTGAATTGGCTCTGTGTTTCTTATTTTATAAGACCGTTGGTTACATCTACATATGTGCCTCTAATTTATCACTCTTAGTGTAGAAAAATGATCCAGTATAACCTCTGTGAATGAAACTCTGTACAAGAGTACCTTAAGGACACTGTACTCATCCCTCCTATTTTTGTGTATTTCCTCAAATCTGTGGTCCTATGGACTGGCTCATCCTCATCCCTTAGGTCTGGAAAAATCACAATGTAATTCTAATCTGAGTATTGTGACATTTCTAGATTAGTGATGGTAAATCAAGGGCATTCCTTTTCTGTCATATTAGTGACCATGATTCCTATCTGTCATCTCACAAATGAATCTTTTCCTCTAATCGTCTGATATAATTTCTTTTGAGATTACATTTTTCTATGACCAAATCTACTTTGTTATTTAATGCTTAAGCAAAAACTTAGGTAACATATCTTAGCATAGAAAGATATACCATATGAAATGTTTTAGTTGGGGGAGCACTCATTACAGGAAAATTATCCTATTGTATTGGATACTTTCTTTGGAAAGAAGTGACACATGAAAGTCTGCTCACCCCATAAAGGAAACCTATGACAGAGCAAACAATAATTGCACCATATTCCAAATATGTGAATCTGTGAATTTACCAAGAGTACTAATAGTAGTATGGATAACAGGGTTATTTTCCGAAGTAAGAGATGACTCAAAGTTTTACTTAAAGCACACCTCACTATGTGTAATTATCATGAAAACCAAAACCCTGTAGATCTCTGCACCACTTGAATACAACTCAGCAGGTCTTAGATATTAACAAGGAGAGCTCAGCTGGCCCAGTAGCTTACTCTTTCTATAGAGATGGGAAGGGCCACTGGTGAATGTTGCAAGTTTCTTCTTTCCAGTACATACAATATTTGTTTACCACCTGAACATCTCAGCCTCTCATATTGAAACAGGGATGTTTCAATTCAGAAAAAAAAGCCATGAAAATTTGAGGCTCAGCTCTTGAGGATGAATGGGTATCACTACATTTTTTACTCTGTCCATCTTTCTGCAGGAAGTCATGACAAGCCTTCACTGTCTGCCTTACCAAGCCATGTTGTTGCTCGTGGACAAAATGTGACTCTTATCTGTGACACTCATAATGAGTCTTTTACATTCAAGCTGTACAAAGAATATGGGGTTGCTGTACCTCAGTTACATGAAGAAATATTCCAAAAGAACTATGTCTTGGGTCCTGTGACTCCAGAATATTCTGGAACCTACAGATGCTATTGTAACAATCATCAATACACTAATGAACTGTCATCACACAGTGACCCTCTGAAGATCATAATTTCAGGTGAGAGTCTATATTTTGGGTGTCACTTCATTCACCCCAAACCTCCCAACCTTAGAATTTCCAAGGAATATTAGGCAGAGTCTCATCATTATAAAAAATATTTAACACAGGGAATTGGATACTGCTATGGCCATAACATAAACCCAAGGACATGCACTTTCTTGTCCCTAATACTTTCTGAGTGTTAAACAAATCAAGGAAAATTGGGGTTGAAGATGGAATTCAGGGACTAGCAAGTTGATATCAGGATGAGAGAATGTCCTGAATCATCCTGACCCTGTAGAACAAAAAGAATATTTTTAACAAAATAAGAAAAAATGCAGTTGTAAGCAAAACAAATCAGTATGAGGGACACAATTTATTGCTAACTCTGACAGTGGAGGAGGGTCCAAGTGCCAAGGATTGCATGAGACCTCTAGAAGCTGAAAGGCAAAAATAATGGATACTTCCCTAGTGATTTCAGCAATAACATATTCCTGCATATAACTGATTTATGCTATTTGGGCTTGTTTCATAATTCTGATCTTCACAACACTTGTGTTCTTTTTAAGAATCATGTTTTTATAATTTGTTATGGTAGTTACTGGAAAATAATAGAGGAATTCAAGTCAAGGGCAAATAAAGAACTTGGCAGGAAAGTGTAGAGGTCAATAAAGTCAGGAAGGTAATATTTTGGGAGGAAATAATGCTCATGATGTCAGATTTGGAATGCCTTACAGAAGTTTGATCTGTAGAGAAGGCCAGAAGAGATTCCCTGATACCAACCTTCACTATTAACTCTCTTATCTTGCCAATGATTATACTTAGTCCAAAGTAACATCAGAAGGATGCATTAAGGAACCTGGCAGGAAGCTTGCCATGTTTTGTGCCTTCCCAGAACTTAGAAAGGGACAATAGTGACTAGGGTAGACAAGTTCAGCAGACACACTCTCACAACAAGCCAAGGAAAAATGTTGTGCTGCTACAAGAGTCACAAAAGTGGGAAATGTTCAGAGAATGATGGAGGAGTCTGTGTACAAAGTTAAAATAAACAGAGACAAGGACACTGGGACACTGACAGGAAGAACAGCTGAAGGAAGGAAAACCATAGGTTTTCTGGGATTCATAGATGGGAGTCACGTTCATACTCACAATCTCTTTATTTCTAGGAATCTATAAGAAGCCTTTCTTTTTGGCCCTACCAACTCTCCTGGTAAATTCAGGAGAGAAGGTGAACCTGGAGTGTCATTCAGAGATTATGTTTGAAACCTTCATTTTGACTCTACACAAAAATAAGATAACCAAGGACTCTTTCCAGCTTTCTGCAGAATCTCATCTTGGGGGATCCCATGCCAACTTCTCAATAGGTCCTGTGACACCTGACCATGCTGGGACTTACACATGCTATGGTTCTTACAATCACACACCATATGAGTGGTCTGAATCCAGTGACCCTGTTGACATAAAGATCACAGGTAAGAGAGTGTTACCTGCTCATCATCCTTTTTGTGATGTAGAGCAGTTATTCTATATACTGCAAGTCCTGGGATGTCATGAGGCATATGAGGAATGTCAAACTTAGAGAAGGCAGCCTTGGTGAGTTTTTTACTGACATGGAAAATGAAAACAGAGATACAAAAACAGACTACTGATTACAATGGAAGGCACAGCTACAGGGAACTCAAAGGAGTTATAACTAGGAGTAAGGAGAAAGAGGCAACTTGGTGAGCTTGATATGAATAAAAGACATTGAAGTCCTTTTCCTATTGTTCAAAGGCCTTGAAAGTTCAGGATGTTGATTGCCTTCTATCTACACAGGACATCTGCCAGAATACATAGACATATTATAAGTCTGACCTGAGTTCATGTGAAGGGTGGGGCTGGTTCTTCATGAGTCCTGAAGTCTTGGTACAGATGGTACCCTTATAATTTCTGTCTAGACTGTCATGATTTCTTTCTTGTGATTGATCCATTATTCATCCCAGAATAGCATTACCTTGGGTAACTGAGTAGATCACCAATCACTGTCTGTTCTCCATATCACCAAACTGTTGTCAGTTCATGTGCTAAATTATTCAGACATTCGAGGATGGCTGAAGGAAAAAATCCTACAGGGTGCCCACTGGGATAAGCAGACACAAGTAAAGCAGAGACATGGAAATATATGCACACAGTAACTCAGACAGGGTCTGAGAGGAAGATTCAAAGATGGAAAGGGCTGAGGAAATAATAAGCATGGCATGCGTGGGAGGAGAAAACCTGTAAAAGGCTTAAGCTTGAATGGAAGACTTGAAAGTAGAGGTGGAGAAATAATGGCAAATGCTGTATGTTTCCAAGCAAAACTAGGGAGGCAGATGGTAGATCACACTTGAACAGTACACATACTAAGAGATACAAGAGAAGGAAGATCATCATGGCCCCTGATCAAGGGAAACAAACACATGCATAGAACATCCTGTGCTTTGAAAAGAGAGACTAATTAATATGGATGTGCGAAAAGAGACAAGATAGAATATGAAAAACTTAGAATGAAGTCAGATTCCGGATTTTCAATATACATAGGATAAAGGAGTTATAGGTCATGAAACTAGGAACTAACCATGAGGGAGTAGGATATTTACAAGGAGGGATGGGGAAACAGGTGGAATACATATGCCATGGAAGAGGAAATAGGGAAAGGACCAGCAAAGGTGGTACAAGTGAGGGAACCAGGAAGAACTAACTGTATGAGGAAGTCTTAATGAACTCTATTACATTGCATTCTAATTAAAACAAAATATAATCTGTGCCTCTAATTAAAAGAATTGATTGACAAAACATTTGGAAAAACTGAAAGGACAAAACAGAACAGAATGGAATCAGTGGAAGTTCATGGACAAGAGAGAATAACAGCATAAATATGATCAACATTACATATATAAATATATATGGGACATCACTTAAAGAAAAAGAGGCCAGGAAACTTTTAATTATATTTTAATTTCAAGTTTTTATTGAAAACAAATACACTATATACATTATATATACACATTAAATACACTATATACATTATATATGCACATTATATATACAAGAAAATTCCATAAGGCATTCAATAGCATTCAATATAAAGTTAACATACATTAATGAAAACAAACTTAACACAGATGGTATGAACCAATGCATAAAGAGGCAGACACTGGCAAAAAGCAAAAAAATGGGGTACAATGTATGGTTGCAGGATTGAATTCAGAACCTCGATAAAACAATATAGGAGGTTAAGAGGGAGAGGGGAAAATCATGAAGTAGAAAAAAGGAGATATAAAGGCGGGACAGAGACAGACAGACAGGGAGAGACAGAGAGAGATCACAGAACTGTAAGGGGGAGGGAACACTGAGGAGGGAACGAACCCTGGGAAGGAGCTGCCCCTCTAACTGTCTCTGCCTCTTTTCTTCCAGGTTTATACAAGAAACCTTCTCTGTCAGTCCTGATGGGCCCTGTGGTGATGTCAGGAGAGAACATGACCTTGTCATGCATTTCTGACCATGAGTTTGACATGTTCCATCTGTCCAGGGAAGGAGTGCCTCAGGGACATGGGTTGCCTGTAGTTAAGGGCCACAATGAGACATTTCAGGCCAATTTCCATCTTGGCTATGTGATCCAGGCAGGGACCTATAGATGTTATGGCTCTTTCAGTAACTCCTCCCATGTGTGGTCATCCCCAAGTGACCCATTGTACATTCCTGTCACAAGTATGAAAGCCATATAAATATAACTAATGAAATACTAAAGCCATATCTGAGAATCATTATACTGATGATAGAAAGAAAGTTCTTAGGCAGCTACAGAAAAGGGTTGCTGGGAGTTATTTTATTATATATATATATATATATATATATATATATATATATATATATATATATATACACATAAATATGTATATATATATAAAAACAATGGACTCAGTAAGATACACACACACACACACATGTGTGTGTGTGTGTGTTTCTATACACGTGTAACAATATTAATCAAAGAAAAATAGGCTTTCAACTTAAAGGGGTGTGTGGAAAATCTTGGAGGAAGTTTACCTGGGAGGGGATGGAGAGATGAAAGGGAGAGGGAAAGCGAGATAATTGTATATCATTTAAGAACTTTTTTTAAAAAGACATGGAATTTGAGAATGGCTCTCAGATTACAAAATAATAGACAAGGAGCCTCCCAAACAATCCTTTTGCTGCTTGGCCAGTCGCACTGGGATGTGTATGTACCCAGGGAGAATAAGAAAAAGTCAGGACAGACTCATTAGAGATAAGATTGCAATCAGTTTGGGCAGATCAGAGATGGTGCAGTCCTCCAGATCTCTTCCTCACATACATTTCCTATTGTCTCATCACAACTTGAAATCCAAGGAGAAAATCCACAAAGAAAACTACATAATAGAATCCTGTATCTCTAAAGGGTCAGCACTAAGAGATGGAGTGGGTGCTGGTTACTGTCCAAATTTGAAGGACTTTCCGTAAGGGGAAGGCAGACAGCCTCTTGATGAACTCTCTCCCTCTCTTGTCCCCTTCTCTAATAAACTCAGCAAGAAACTGCACTTCATGCACAGAACCACACTCCAAAACTAGTGAGTAAATGATACATCTTCTCCATTGTGGAAACTTAGGGACCAAAAACTCTAGGGTTCCTGTTTTGGCTCAGCTCCACTTATGAAGTTGTGGTATCTGTATTAATCAGTATCTATTACAAATATAAACTACCCTGATGAGAGTTGAAAAATGAATTAATGTATGGTGGTAATGATAAGTCATTAGGAGTCAGTTTAATACTCTTTCCATTAAGCAGAACATTACTGGTGGGTTCTCCATCAAGACTATTGTCCTAAAGCAGCATTGTATCAATTATCCATCAATCAATAAATATTACGCAATTTGTCAAAATGGGGACACTAAGATTTGCCTCTTATCAGGTTCATGTCTTCTTCCAGATAATCACAGGAACATGCATATTCTGATTGGCCTGTCAGTGACCATGATCCTTGTCTTCCTCATCATCCTGCTTTACTCTTGTTACTTGGCCAAAAAGAGCAAGTCTCAAGAACAAACCAGTGAGCATCAACTGAGTAGTGTGAGGAACCAAGTCCGGAGAAATACAGGTGTGTTTTCTTCATTTACAAATGATACTTAGGCAAAGACAGGGAAACTGAGGCAGGGATTTCTAGAGAGAAATAGAGTCCTTGCTCTTCCCCTCAGCTCTCAGACCACTGACTAATTCTTCAATGAATCTTCTGCATCTTCACATCCAAAGCTAATATTGAAGAGAAGGTTTTACAAAAGAGAGTAAGGGGGAGAGAGAATACACTAAAGAAAGAATTATTAGGGTACACCATGTGTGGGATGTGACTGTGAATATAGAGCAGCAGAAAATCTGATTCAAATTTGCCACAGGTGAGCAAACTTGGTTTTTTCCATACATCTCACTAGCACTTTGGATTTAAAATGAGAGTGCAGAAGTCCTTTATTATGTGTGTTTGATTACTTCTGTCCTCTAACAATGCAGCCATCATGGACCAAGACTCTGACATGAGAACAACACAGAACAGACAGGTGGGTCCTCCTGAGTCTGCTCTCTTCCATACAATCTAATATTCCTTCATTCTCTGCAAGAGTGTGTGCACACCACCTCACTTAACATTTACCTCTTCCTAGGATCCTGAAAGACAAGAAGTGCAGGAGGTGGCATACTTAGAATTTGATCAGATGACCTTCAAACAAAAATTGACCACTCCCGATTCCCAGATTCCCAAGGAATTTTTCACAGATCCCAGTGTGTACATGGAAGTCAGGAAATGTTAAGCTAAGATGAAAGATCTTTTTCACCCCATGAGTTCTCAAAGAAAGCTCCGAGGAAGTCCTCTGTGGAGACCACAGTCCTTTCTCCATTAAAGACCAATAGATGCAGTGAAACAACAGCTGGAATGTGAAGACAGAGGTCTATAATTTTTTGACCATCTTTTATTATTCTCATATGGTTCTCAAAGTGACTTTCCTTTACTTATGAAGGTATGGTTCTCACTACCTCCTCCAAAGTAATCAAACTCTTTTGGTTAGTCTGTAGGTATGTATTTCATTTCACTCTGGCAGACCACTACAACCTTACTACCTGTAAGTTCTTGACCTACTTGAAGCTATAACCATGTTAAGTATCTTACAACTGCAGATCAACAGGAGGCTCACTCTGTATCACTAATATGTAATAATGTTATACAACATAATGGTTTTCAAGATAAATTTGATTATGTATATAATCTATGTTGATCATAATTCACACCCAATTACCCTATATTGACTTTCTACCATTCCTGCTGATATCATTCACGAAGCCCACTCTTAACATTGGGTTTTATATTTTGCTGTACTGTGTTCCCTAAATGTTGTAAGTCAAAGTCTTCTCTCACCAGAAGAATCTTCACATTTCTTTAATATTTCATTGTAGACTTCCCCAATATTGAAACATTTTCTAAGATGTGGTTGAAATAAGCACCTCCTACTCTCATCTTTCAATTACCTTCCTATTGAAAAGTTAGTTTCTCTGAATTGAAATATTGCCTTTTGGAAGAGAAATCATTAAGACACCAAAAGTAAACTAAACTTCAAAAGACCCGGGAAGATGCTGAGACATACATAATTCACAGGGGTCCTCCCTAATTTTGTATAAGTAATAACAATAGCAGATGAGAGAGACTCTCCAGTTAACCAAGCTGCACAACATGCGGGGAGCTCCAGGGATTCAGGTTTCCTATAGCATCATCCATGTTGGCATTGGCTTTTGGGGGTGCATCAAATTTTGTGTCACTCATGCTCCTGTAATTATTTCCTCATAAAATAGGATGGCTAATGCTATATTGATGGCTAACATTATATTGATGGCTAACTATATGTTGAAAGTTTGAAATTTCTGTAATTAAAAGAACTAACTATAAAAATTGAATTTGCAAATGTTAAAGTGTGCTTAGTGTTTATTTTTAATTGCCTGGTATGTTATAAATATAACAATTCTTTTTTCTGTTTCTGCAAATAAAAGGTTTCTTTGTACCAGATGATATTTTGTTTGTACATAGACAGAATGTTTACTTTAGGTACTTGGCCTGTAAAATCGCCTGACTGAGGTATCTGGGTGCTGCATTCGGGAATCCCAAGTCCCAGATATGTACATGGTACCACTATATGAATAAGAATCCCTTCTTTGTTAAAATTTATTAATGGTGTTGTCTCCTGAGTTTGTTATTGTTGGATGGGTGTTTTGTTCCTTGGCTTCTTTTTTCTCTCAGATCTTCTGACCTAGGTGGCCAGTGGTTCTGGTGACTAGAAAGTCTTCAGATCCAGTAGGGTTCCTCCCCTGGGTATTGTGTAGCCTATGAGACATCTGTGAGTTTTGGGTGCAAAAGTTGCTCTGAGGTTCTAAGAACCTATGGGGCTCTGGGGCTCAGGATACCTGCTTAGTCTCTGGGATTCCTAATATATTGTGGCCTCCAGTAAAGTAGAAGTTTTCTGCCAAGTTGTGGGCTGAGATATGGAGCTTGGGGAAGAGGGAGCAGTTGGAGACTGTTGGGCCAGGTTTCTGGAGTCCAAGCTGGCAGTGGGTAGTTTCTTTCCTTGGGTCCTAAGAACCAGACTGGCTTTGGATAAACAGAAGTCTTCTGCTAAAGTTGTGGGTTGGAATATGGAGCCTAGGGGAATGGGTACTGATGGGAGCTGTTGGATGGGCTTTAAGGAGTGCTAGTGGGCAGTGAGCAGTGTTTTACCTTGGGTACCTAGAACCAGCCTGGCCTCTCGTAAAGCAGAAGTCTTCTACTGAATTTATAGGCTGGAAAATGGAACCCAGGAGAGAAGCTGCAGTCTGGGGCTTTTGGGCATGATGTAAGGTGTGTAAGAAGGCAATGTAATAACCCAATTATCTTGGGTTATTAGAAACAGCCTGACCTCCAGTAAAACATCAAGTGTTTTGGCAAACTCAGGAATCAACATGTAGACTTATGATCATCCAAAAACCAGATGCCAAAATGGCAGTATAAGGACACAATCAACAGCAGAAAGGGCAACATGGTACCACTGGAGCCCAGCTATCTTATAATAGCAAGACCTAAACATTCCAAGCCAGGGGAAGAATAAGAAAATTACCTCAAAACCAACTTTATGAAGATGATAGCAGTCCCTAAAGAGGAAATAAAAAAATCCCTTAAGGAAATTGAGGAAAAGACAAATAAAAATTGGATGAAATAAATAAATCTCATAAATAATGCCAAGAAATTTAACAGAAAAAAAACAGATGAATAAAACCATTCAAGACATGAAAATGGAAATGGAATCAAAAGAGAAAACACAAAAGCAGGGAAATCTGGAAATAGAAAATCTGGGTAAGTGAACAGGAACTACACATGTAAGTATCACAAGCAGAATATAAGAGATGGAAGAGAGAATCTCAGGCATAGAGGAAATAATAGAGGAAATAGATTAATCAGTCAAAGAAAATGTTAAATCTAAAACATTCTGAACACAAAACATCCAGGAAATCTGGGGTACTATGAAAGTGCCAAACCTAAGAATCATAGGGATAGAAGAAGGAGAAGAATCCCAGCTCAAAGCCTCAGAAAACTTATTCAAGAAAATCATAGAAGAACATTTTCCCAACCTAAAAAAGAACATGCCTGTAAAGGTACAAGAAGCTTACAGAACATCAAATAGATTAGACCAGAAAGAAAATTACCCACACCATATAATAATCAAAACACTAAAAATACAGAACAAATAAATAATATTAAAAGGTTCAAAGAAAAAAGTCAAGTAACATATAAAGGCAGACCTATTAGAATCATAGCCAACTTCTTAATGGAAACTATAAAAGCCAGAAGGTCTGGAAAAGATAGATTTGTGAACACTAAGAGGCCACAGATGTCAGCCCAGACTACAATATCCAGCAAAGCTTTCAATCATCACCAGATGGGAAAAAACAAGATATTTTATTGCAAAGTTAAATGTAAACTCTATCCACAAATCTAGCCCTACAGACAATACTAGCAAGAAAACTCAAACCCAGGAAAGTTAGACTGTATTCATGAAAATAAAGACAATAAATAATATCACACCAGCAAAACCCAAAGAAGAAACACACAAATACACAACACACACACACACACACACAAACACACACACACACACACACACACACACTACCTACAATAGCAAGAACATAATAACAGGAATTAACAACCAGTAGTCATTAATATTTCCCAGTATCTATGGACTCAACTCGACAATAAAAACACACAGACTAACAGGATGGATATGGAAACACAAAGCATCCTTCTGCTGCATACAAGAAACACACCTCAACAAAAAAACACAGATATCACCTCAGAGTAAAGAGTTGAAAAAAGGTTTTCCAAGTAAATAAAACTAATAAGTAAAATGGTGTGGCTATTCTAATATGAAACAAAATAGACCCAAAATTAATCAAAAGAGATGGAGAGAAGGACATTTTAAACTTATTAAAGGAAAAATCCACCAAGAAGACATTGCAAATCTTAATATTTATGCCCCCAAAACAAGGGCACATGCCTTTGTAAAAGAAATAAAATTAAAGCTTGAATCTCACATTGAACCTCGAGCATTAATTACAGGAGACTTCAATACACCACTCTTATCAATGGACGTGTCATCCAGACAAACACCAAAAAGAGACATAATGACAATAATGTATTTTATGAACCTAATGGATTCAACAAATATCTACAGAACATTTCACCCAAATCCAAAAGAATATATATTCTTCTAAACCCATCTTCTCCAAAATTGACTTTATACTAGGTTACAAAGCATGTCTGAACAGATACAAGAAAATTTAAATACACCCCCACATCCTATCAGACTGTCATGCGTTAAAGCTAGACTTCAACAATAACAAAAAGAACAGAAAGCCTAAAAACTCATGGAAACTGAACAGCTCTCTACTGAACCACAAGAAAGAAATGAAGAAAGAAATTAAAGACTCCCTAGAATAAATGGAAATAAATACACAACATGCCCAAACTTACGGGACACAATGAGAGTGGTGCTAAGAGGAAAGTTCTAAGTGTCTTCATAAGAAGTTAGAGAGATCTCACACTATCAACAAAGCAGCATACCAGAAAGCTCTAGAAAAATAAGAGTCAAACACACACAACCCCACATCTGACAGAGCTAATTTCCAAAACATTTTAAAAAAACTCAAAAAACTAGGCATCAAAAAAATCAAACAATCCAATTTAAAAAAGGGTACAGATCAAAACAGAGAATTCTCAACAAAGGAATCTCAGATGGCTGAGAAGCACATAAAGAAATTTTCAACACCCTTAGCCATTAGGAAATGAAAATCAAAATGACTTTGAGATTCCATCTCACACCTATCAGAATGACTAAGATCTAAAACACAAATGACAGCTCATGATGCAGAGGATGTGGAGCAAGCTCCATTGCAGGTGGAAATACATACATGTGCAGCCACTTTTGTGGTTTGCTTTCTCAGAAAATTGGGAATTCACCTACCTCAAGACCCACCTATACCATCCCTGTGCATATACCCAAAGATCTCTCTAACATAGCCAAAGAGCACTTGCTCAAATATGTTCATAGAATCTTTCTTCATAAAAGCCAGAAATTGGAAACAACCTAGATGTCCACCAAATGAAGAATGGATAAAGAAAATGTGGTACAATTACACAATGGATTATTACTCAACTGTTAAAAATAATGGCATCATGAAACTTGCCAGCAAATAGATGGAACTGGAAAAGATCATCCTGAGTGAGGTAACCCAT